ATGGCTACCCACTCCAGTATTCTTGCCTGGAGAATCCTACGGACAGAAGAGCCTGGTGGGCTGCAGTAGATGGGGTTGCAAGGAGTCAGACACGAATGAGTGACGAACACTCTCTTTTTCATCTAGACTATGAACTGATTCTGGATTCTTTTCTAAATTCATAGTCTCTGAATTCACAATCTACAAGCTGTGTTACTGATAAAGCATTTGGTTCCAAACAGTTTCTTTTGAGATAACAGCATTGTTTAATTACTTCATGTTTGTTCCTGCACTGTGTTTTCCCAAAGAGTTTAATTCCTTCAGTTTTGAGTGTGTTCTTGGTGGATGAACTATACTAAGATACAGATTTTTAGGGAGGAAATGCCTGAGACATCCTCCTCCTACCCCTTCGTGTTACACAAGCATGACCACAATCGGTTTCTGAACTGTGAACTTTCCTCCTGACATGGGAAATGACACTCAGGAAAGGTCCTTCCGGGCACTGAGGAGTAAAAGGACACTAAACGCTGATAAAAAATAAAACCTAACAGTCTTTTATCTATACAAACAAAGCAGCAGTGGGTAGCTTGTACACTTTGGTCATGTGTGAATATTTCTATATGATTTGTGTCTAGAAATGGAATTGCTGGGTCAAAAGATACAAGCACTTAAAGTTTTAAAAAGATTGCCCCCCATTAAGGCTAAACCAGTTCATGCCCACCAGCAAGGTAAGAGAGTTTCTGTTTCTTCAAACTCTTTCTAATATTGAGCTATCAAAAATGTTTTGAGCTTTGTCAGTTGAAGAGAAAAGAAATGGCGCAACTTTAGCTTTAATTGGCCTTTATACTTTTATAAGAATTATGACCATCTTTTTAAATGTTTTAGGTCCAGTTGTATTTCTTTTTATGTGAACTATATGTTCATATATTTTGCTCATTAGGTTGTTGGTTTTCTTGTCGATTCGTAGGATACGTCATTACAGTTCAAATCCTCCTTAGAAGGCTGAATTTTTCTAGTGTATCAAAAGATGTACAAACTCCCTCTTTTAAAACATATGTTCAGCTACTTTCATTTTTTCATCAGCTTTAAAGTATGTAATTCTGGTTTTCTTAACATATTTTCAACTTAAATGTCATTGGCTTGTTTGTTTTAGCATTGGTGGCTCCTGGGACACAGAAGCTTGAATCGTGGCCTACATTGGCTGGGGTAAGTGAAATAAAAGAAATAATTTAAGTTGGTATATATATTGGGAAATAATATAGGAAACTATTATTTTTGTGTGTGTATGCTTTTATAGACTTAACTGGTGTTAACTTTTTCTTCTTTTTGGTATAAGAATTAACTTCAGACTTGATGTGGTGTTATAAAAAGTGTATAACAATTTGGAACATTCAAGTTTGTATATGGAGAAATTGTGATTTTAAGAAATTATTAAAAGATAGTGAAATAAAAATCTGAATTAAACATTCACAACAACTAACATATTGATGCCATTAAATTCCTTTATGCATTAAAATACAAACAATATGCTGCTTTAACATCATTGTTTTAAAATTAGCTATAAAGTAGTTGTGTTACTGAATCAAACGAGTCTGCTTGCCCCAGTGCAGTAATGCCCATCTACTGACACTGGATTGTTGTGGAGGAAAGCACAACGTTTATTGCAGGTGCCAGGCAAGGAGTCCTGGCAGCTAGTGCTCAAAAGGCCCAAACACCCTGATGGCTTCCAGGGAAAGGTTTTTAAAACCAGAGTGAGGGAGTGGGTTGCAGGGTGTATGATCAGCTCATGGACAGTCTTTTGAGTGACTGGTGGTGAGGTAATGGTGAGTCAGCATCATCAACCTTCTGGTTCCAGATGGTCTGGGGTCTATGTGCTTGTGGGCAGTATACAATTAACTTCTTCCACCTCATGGGGGTTTCAGTGTCTGTAAAACAGCTCAAAGGACATGGCTTAGAATATTATCTATAGTCCTTGAAGAAGAACTGATTTAATCAGACATCAGAATGGCTTCTGTATGTGAGCCAGTGAGTGGCAAATGAGAATAACAAAGGGGAGAGACAAAGTTGAAAAAGGTAAATTTCACCTTGGACTCAACTTAAAAAAAACAGTTCTCTTCAGTGGGCCAAAAGAGATGAAGCTAACGAAAATACTGTTGTTTACAGTAGCTTTGTATTAAACCCACATGAAGTGAAGTGAAAGTGACCCACATGGGAAACAGCCAAAATGTTCCTCAGTAGGTGAATGGTTAAACAGATTGGAACACTCAGCAATAAAAATAATAAACTGTCAATATATGCAACAACTTGGATAGATCTCAAGGGCATTGTGCTGATGAAAAAAGCCAGTCTCTAAAGGTCACTTATCCTATGGTTTCATTAAAATAATATTTTTGAAATAATTACATATATAGAGATTGAAGACAGATAAGTGATTGCCAGAAGCTAGGAATGGTACAGGGAGAGTAAGTGTGACTACAGCCTGAGGGGATATATTTATGGTGGTAGAATAGCTCTTTTCTTGTTTGCAGGGATGGTTACATGACTTTACATGTGATAAAATGATATAAAGCTATATATGCACATTACACCAATGTCAAACACCTGGTTTTCATGTTGTATTATAATTATGGATAATTATATAATCATTGGGAGAAACTGGGTGAAGGGTACACAAAACCACTGTGTACTACCTTTGCAACTTCTGTGAATCTATAATGATTTAAAAGTAAAAAGTTTTAAAAAAGACACAAAAAATCATTAGAGAGAGGGCTTCCATCATGAGAGCAACTCTTAATGTCTCTGAATGGAGACAGTTGCCTTTGTATCCTTAGTTTTGTGGAATGCTGGTGAAAAAATGAAAGTAGATGGCAGATAAGTGAAGGGAATAAGTAAGCTTTTTTGTGAACATTAATGAATGAAATGGTCAGATAGCTTAATGATCTTCACAACGTTAAAAAACCTTAAGAATAGAGAGGCTTTTAAAATAAATAATTCATTTTTATGATGCTATCTAATACATATCTGCAGTTACAAGGTAGCTCTTGGTCTTAGGGATGAAAGGAAGTAGAGTCAGAAACTTTTAGATTCCAGTTCTCCACTCAGTGATTAGATGAACTTAGTGAATTTCACCTCCATCTTCCCTCTTTCCTATTAACTCCTTGCATAGCTCCAGGCCAATTTAGTTTCAGTTTACTTTTTGATTTGAGGAACGTGAACCACATCTTAGTATTCCTTGCCCAGAGAACTTGCGCTGGGACAATTTCCCTCTGGAAAAGTTGACTGTAGCAAACTTGAATCCTTGTGGAGGTCTTGGAGCCTTACTAGGGGATAAGGATTAAGAATGACTGGAAGATTCTTCCAGACTTTGAAAGAGACTATTGAAATTAATTTGTTTGTAGAAGTGCGGAAATAAGCTCTAAAGAGTTCATTCGAATAAGGGAGATAGGGGTGTCTTGGTGGCAGGTGGAAGTAACTAAGATAATGTATACTTTTTTCTTTTTGGCTTTCCTCCAGTCCCTTCATGAACTGCTCTTTCTTGGGCCTCCATTTCCTCATAGGGGATGAAGGTGAGTACAATACTTCATGTAATTACCTTTTTCTGGCTTTATTTTAAATTTGGCTTCATAGCTATTGTTCTGAGGTAAAAATGGAGCTCCCACATAAAAATGTTAAGGGAATGGCACTTCAGCTCAAGGAAATCACAACTAGATATTTAGACATTTAGAATTTAAGAGGCAGACCCTGAAGCTGGGAAAGACTGAAGGCAGGAGAAGGGGACCACAGAGGATGAGATGGTTAGATGGCATTACCAACTCAATGGACATGAGTTTGAGCAAGCTCGGGGACATACTTAAAGACAGGGAGGCCTGGCATCGTGCAGCCCGTGGGGTCACAGAGTCAGACACGACTAAGCGACTGAACGACAATACAATAATGCTTAAGAGCATACACTTTGGAGTCATACTGCTTAGGAACCCTAGCTCTACAGTTTGGTGAGTTATTTAACCTCTCTCTGTACCTTAGTTTTTAATTTGTGAAATGGAAGTAAGTTGAGATAATAAGAATATTTATCTCACAGGGTTTTGGGAAGATTAAATGTCAGTAAATATGAAGTGCTTAGAACAGTGCCTCGCTCAAGTTTGACACTGTATTAGCTATTGCTAGTATTAGTATATTACCGTTTGCATTTCTAGTTATCTTATGTGCATATGCTACATCTGCCCCAAGCAACCAGAAAACTTTTACAGCGTTAAAGACTGTTTCCCACTTTTCTTTTTCCATTACAACTGGTACCTAAGACGTGTGCAGAATATCTATACTAAGCCTGTAACTCCAGGAAGTCTTTTGCTTTGGTTCAACCTCGAATATTACGAAGAGCTTTTCTCTTTAAAAATAGTATCAAACCACTTTTCATTAGTGTAACAATAAGAGACAGTTGAGCTATTCACTGTGGCAGCATTTCACACGGTCAAGCTCCCCTATATTGGTAAGAGTCATAGGAATACTGCTCTCTATTCTGAGCGGATTCACTTCAAATCAGAGCACCGGTCTGATTCTCCTTTTTGTTAGCGATCTGTCCCTACCTATGCTCATCTCTCTCAGGCCTCAGTAGAGCAATTCATTAACATTCCTTTACGGTGGGTAGCAAAATTCGCCCCTTAACTCCGCCTCAACGTCCAGGTTCCGCCCCCAGCCCGGAGAAAGGGGAGGGGGCGGGGCGCCCCGATTCCTGGGCGGGGCTTGGGTGGCGTGCCTCGAGGCGCCGGCGCCGTGACGCGTGACGTTACCAGTTGACGCAGCCGCAGTGCCGCCCGGCCCCATCTCGGACCCCTCCCATCCTCCTCCGCCCCTCTCTGTGTCAGAGGTTGGGGCCCCGGGCCGCACGTCGGGCGGCGGGCCGGGTGGCGGGGCGAGAGGGTGTGGACCCGGGCAGCGCTCAGCAGACCGTGTTTGGCTGGGCGCAGCAGCAGCTGCCGCCGCCGCCGCCGCCGCCCAAGGCCCTCGGCGTCCCCGGGAGAGAGACCCGAGCGGTTCCCATAGCCCCGGCGCTCGCTCAGGTGAGGGGACGGGTCGGGTTGAGCAGGGTCTGTTGAGCAGCACTCTTCCCAGCATCTCTGTACAGCAGCCTGGTCAGAATCAAGGAGGTGTGGCTTCGTTGCGGCTGCTTGCTGCAGCGTCGACTCATCTCTTACTCGTTTGCCATCTTTACCTGCAGCACGGAGACTTGAACACCGGGTATCCGAGGTCAGTGAGAAGGCCTGAAAGGGCCTTGGCAGTCAGGTGATTAGGGACTCGAATGCAGGAACTGGCCCGGTGAATGGTGGTAAGGCAGACGGACGACGCCCACCTGCTGGTGTGTGGGAAGGACCGCATACCTGCAAGCTCTGGCTTTAGCCTTGTTAGCTGCATGGGGCTGCAGAGACCCCAGATTGCTTAACGCATGGTAGATTGTGGACCAAGGGCCGGGGAGTCTTTGAAACCTTCTCTACTCTTCAGGTGTGGTGTGCTTGTATTCTGATTGGTGCTTGCTGAGTCTACACTATGGAAGAGTACATTTCAGCGGAAACATCTTTAAGGGAAGTTGATTTTCCCTCTAGAGAATTGCCCCCCTCCTGCTTCTCTTGGCCTTAGTGTTGACAGAAGCAGGTTAGGGACGCTTGTTAAAGGGACAGAGTTCTTGTAAATTTCCTCTGTAAGGAAATAATTGTTTTCTGTGACTGTTGAAACGTCTAAGTTTCAACTGGTTTCACGTTGCTGCTTTCAGCTCTGTGCATAGCAATGAAGCTGATTTATTTTAAATTAGCGAGATACATGAAGTTTAAAAATAAATGAATTAACCAGAGTATTTATCTTATCTAAGTACTGGTGGTACATGCTTTATGTGCATATATCAATTAATAATCATACCAACCCTGTCATGTAAAGTCTGTTTTTAACTCTCATTTTATAGATGAGAGAACTAAATCCCGCAGCCCTAAAAAACGACTTGTCCAAAGTCAGAGCTGTGATTTAAATCAGGTAATTAGACTCCGGTTCAGAGTCCTTTAAGTAGTATGCTTTACCACTCCCAAGCAGCTTGAGAACTTGCAAGGTGATTTTCATTTGATAAAAAATGCTGGGAACATGTATGTTTTAAAGGTAACATCTGACCTCTAGAATCCTCTTGACTACCAAAATCACGCTCTTTCCATCCGTACAGTGGTTTTGAAATCTTTGGAAGACTGTAGTTTGGAAATGTGGTCTTCTAGTTTTAGGAATATTTTTTGAAGAAAATATAACATTTGGATTAACATTAGTTTCCATGTTACATGTTCCATGTTACACATGCAAGGGCATGTGTAATGAAATCATTTAATCTGAAATGGTGAAACTGCTGATAAAGCCAGAATATCTTGTATAATTGGTTAAAATTGGTATTCTTTTCAGATGTGTTAAGATGAAACACTTCAGATAGGCCTTCTGATCAAGAAAAGGAAAACAGAACATTACAGACTCTGGAAAAAACAACTTGGTAAATATTTTGGGTTGTCAATTAAAACTCAGAGAAAATCTAACTTTCTGCTTCAGTCATAATTTAACCTGCTTAAATTAACCTGCTTGAATTGGTCTAAGAATGGGGGTGGGTGACAGTAGTGTATAAGGTGACCTGTCAATCATTTTACCTGAGTTTTGAACTATTGCTATGACTTGACAGTTGAGTCATGTGCTTGGCTTGTGTATTGGCAGGAGAAAGCCAAGGGAAGCGTTCGCTTGATTATCTATTAAGTGTCAACTTTCTGTTCTCTCTTTTGCTTCCTCATGAATCTGCCCATGTTATAAAGGATTTTAAAAAGAAAGGAAAAAAATTAGTTGACTTTTGGCTTGTTCTTCATAGAATATTGTGTATAGTTTAACTTAAGTATGTTTGCTTCCATGATGGTTCATTCACATGGCTTTTGGCTGGAGGCCTCAAATTCTCACCACATGAACTTCTGTAGGGCTTCTTAAGTGTCCGAACAAGGCACCTGCAGCTGTCTCACTCTGGAGCAAATGATCAGAGAGAGAGAGAGCACACGCGTACAAAGAGGAAGCTATGATGCCAGTTTTGACAGAGTGACACACCATTCCTTTGCCCTATTCTTTTAGAACTGAATCAGTAGGTCCAGCCCACACTTGGGAATGAGTTAAGCACCACTTCCTTGAAGAGAAGAGAGAAGTCACTCAGTCGTGTCCGACTCTTTGCGACCCCATGTACTGTAGCCCACCAGGCTCCTCCAGCCATGGGATTTTCTAGGCAAGTGTACTGGAGTGGGTTGCCATTTCCTTCTCCAGGGGATCCTCCCAACCCAGGGATCGAACCTGGGTCTCCGCGTTGTAGGCAGACGCTTTACTTTCTGAGCCACCAGGGAATCCCTTCCTGAAGGGAGAAATATCAGATACTTTTTGTACATATATTAAAGCTTCCACATACCGGCTGTCAACTGTCAGTTTCTTTAGGGGGCAAGTAAGCTCTGGTAAAATATATAGCTACAGCCTTTATGTCTCCAGGTGAGAGAGAAGTGTAGAAAAGTGGGGAGATGGTTCAGTCAGATTTGACTTTACAATTTATCCTCCTTTGCCATTGATTAGGCTCAATAACTTGATGTGTTGCCTCTTGTAGTTAATTTTAAAAAGTGACTACTGGCCTTTGATTTATTTGAGGATTCTTTTAGAAGAAAAAAAATGCCATACTGGGCAAAATATGAATTTTTTATACCAAAATATGGATTTTGGTAACATTAAATATATTAGCTCCTAATCTAGAATTTAGAAGTGGAAGGAAGGGATTCATTTTTGTAGTTAAAAAAAAAAAATGAGGACCAAAAGACAATTGCAGGCTGATTTCTGTGAACATATGGATGAAGCACAAGGTGGAATGAAGATTGCCAGGAGAAATATCAATAACCTCAGATATGCAGATGACACCACCCTTATGGCAGAACGCGAAGAACTAAAGAGCCTCTTGATGAAAGTAAAAGAGGAGAGTGAAAAAGTTGGCTTAAAACTCAACATTCAGAAAACTAAGATCATGGCATCTGGTCCCATCACTTCATGGCAAATAGATGGGGAAACAGTGACAGACTTTATTTTCTTGGGCTCCTGAATCATTGCAGGTGGTGCCTGCAGCCATGAAATTAAAAGACACTTGCTCCCTGGAAGAAAAGTTATGACCAATCTAGACAGCATATTAAAAAGCAGACACATTACTTTTCTAACAAATTTCTGTCTAGTCAAAGCTATGGTTTTTCCAGTAGTCACGTATGGATGTGAGAGTTGGACTATAAAGAAAGCTGAGTGCTGAAGAATTGATGCTTTTGAACTGTGGTGTTGGAGAAGACTCTTGAGAGTCCCTTGGACTGCAAGGAGATCCAACCAGTCCATCCTAAAGGAAATCAGTCCTGAATATTCATCGGAAGGACTGATGTTGAAGCTGAAACTCCAATACTTTGGCCACCTGATGCGAAGAATTGACTTTGAAAAGAGCCTGATGCTGGAAAAGATGGAAGGCAGTAGGAGAAGGTGATGACAGACAATGAAGTGGTTGGATGGCATCACCGACTCCATAGACGTGAGTTTGAGAAATCTCCAGGAGTTGGTGATGGATAGGGAGGCCTGGTGTGCTGCAGTCCATGGGGTTGCAAAGAGTTGGACATGACTGAGTGACTGAACTGAACTGATACGATATGAGAGGCAATATAAATTTATACAGACTGTAGAGCCAAACTGTGTAGGTTCATATCCTAGACTGGCCGTATCTTAGCTGTGTTTGTGCTTTGCTTCTCATTGCCACAATTTTCTCTGTGAAATAGGGAATTGCTAATAGGTAGTTATTTCTAACAGTTAGATCAGTAACTATATGTAAAGTGTTTAGACCAGTGCCTAGCACGTAACAAGCAGTGAATAAATGTTGGCCATTTTATCATGGTAGCTATATTTTATCATTATAATGGTGAGTTAATAGCATGGAATGAACATTTAAAAAGAATAATGTAACATTGTCCAAAATGTTTGTAAGTCTAAACTTTAGACTACTGATCTTATTGGACCTTGTCACGTTTTATATATATGTGAAGTATGTTTTTATTCAGCTCCGTATCCAATTAAAATACTGTTTCAGGTATCACCTGTAGTGTAAGGTTATATCTGCATAAAATTCCTAAAGCAGCCTCTTTATGTTGTAGTATTTATGTAAAAGTTCAATTAAGTGTTCTCAATTCATAGAAATTGGCTATTAAATGGATCTGTTGGGTCTCTGCATAGCAACATCCTAATAAAAATAATTTCTTTGAACTTGGTATGATGAGAATGTTGGTAAACACACTTGGCCAGTTACTTCCTCCCTCTCGCCCATATCCATATCCCTTGTGGCTCAGCTGGTAAAGAATATGTCTGCATTGTGGGAAACCTGAGTTCGATCCCTGGGTTGGGAAGATCCCCTGGAGAAGGGAAAGGCTTCCCACTCCAGTATTCTGGCCTGGAGAATCCCATGGACTGTATAGTCCATGTTGTCGCAAAGAGTCAGACACGACTGAGGAACTTTGACTTTCACTTTGAGTCAGTTACTTCTTAATTAAGGCAGACATAAATGACTTTGAAATTGGGACCTCTACAAAGGTATCTCAAGGTTATTTCTTACATATGAGCAGAAACCAAACCATACCTGAAAAGTTTTCAAGTAAGTTTGAAATATATTCTGTAACAGTTAATGTAGAATCTGTATATATTCTGTAATTATAGTTAATGTAAAATCAGTCTAGTTTGGTTTATGGGCAAGCAATGCAGAAATGTGTACAAAGTGCATACTTCACAGGATTTCTAGTGTATGGAATGCTGCTATGTGCTGATAGATACTCACGCTTGAAGTTGAAGAGAATGTCAGTGTTGATGAAGTTTAAAGGAAAGCTGTAGAATTGATTTATTTTGCAACTCTTAAAACCTGTTTAGCATAGTGAACTATATGCAATACATTGTGATAAGCCAAAATGAAAAATCATATATAAAAATGTATATGTATAACTGAGTTACTTGGCTGCACAGCAGAGATCGGCACTACATTGTAAGTCAACTACACTTCAATAAAAAAGAAACCTAAAAAACCCAAACAGTCATATAGTTTTCTTTATGAAAAGGAACTGTGGTTAAATTCAAAGAACTTGAATAATCTGAAGATACATGAATATCTTTTATACAAATAATTGTGACTTAATTGTTGCATGAGACATTTAAGCATGATTAATTTTTTCCTTCATTTTTGTTATATTTGGGATGGGTTGTCAAGATGTTAAATATCCTCTTCTTAAACTCAAGTAAACGGAAACCAAATTTTCTTGAGTGTGAAAAAGATCATTTAGGAGTCTCTTGGCCTTGAATAAGTACTTACCTTTGGCAATAGTTCATAATTATGTACTTTCTACAGTGATGCATTTATTTCATTCATTTATGAAACAAGTATTTATTGAGAGACTACTGCATACCAGGAACTTTGTTGGATATTGCATACGCAAATGAATAGGGCAAAGACATCCTTAAAGAGCAGTTAGCTGTCTTGCTGGGAACAGACTTTGGAACTAATAGTTACAATGTGATGAATGCTAAGATAGAGTTACTACTGTGGGCATCTGGAGCTCACTACCACTGGGGATCTCTCAGAGACCAAACAAAATATGCATCAGAGTTATCGCAAGTCAAGAGCAGGGAAGCTGCAGGTGTTTACCCAACTACTTTCTAGGCATCATTGACTTTAATTCCGGCATTTCTGGCCTACCCTAGGTACAGACTGAAAACATTTCTGCAGTCAGAAAGCAGCCTACAGTAGGGTGTTACAAGTGTTCAGAATGAATAATCTTCTGTTGTAGAGGCAAATATCAGCAGTATATGGGGAAGACACAAGTGGCATTGATTGCCAGCATCAGGCATTTACACAGTATATTAACCTACTGTGTGCCAGAGTTCTTCTAAATGCTTTCCGTATCCAAACTGTAAACTCTGTGAGGTAGGTACTGTCAGTTCTCATCTTACAGATGAATAAGAGCACGGAGAGTTAGGTAACTTGCCCACGGTCACGTAGCGATAATGTTCCAACTGGTTCCATCAGTCCACATGATGCTCTCAATCCACATTATGGTCTGCTTTTGGAACAGTACAGTCTGAAGCAGGACCTTTTAACTCTTCTGTTATTCCTTGATAACTGCTTCCTCTTTCTGTCCCCCAGTCTCCTTCCTGTTGGTGTTCTTCCTTCTTTGTAACCTAGCCCTTTCCCCTTTTAGATAACAGTACAGCTGTTCAGCTTCCCTTCTTACAGTCAGAGCTGTCAAATCAAACAATTCTTGCTGAGGTGTTAACTGATACTTCTGAGGTCTTAATGAAGCCTTGAGTTTGATATTGCTTGGTATTTGCATTTTAATTTTTTTGAAAAGACAAGGGTTTAAGAAATGAAGAAAGACAGACATGGTGGTAGAATGACAGGTGATCAATTGACAGATGATCTAGTTG